GGTGAAATACCAGAGGAAGAAAAAAGGAAACATACAAATAGGGGTTGGATCAGTGTTGAATTTCAGGAACAGGGCTATCTTTCGGTCGGCAGCTGCAGCTATTTCATTGTCCATGGCAAGCAAATCGGTTTCTAGTTAGTTGCTTCTTAATGAGGCAGAAGCATCTCTGAAGATAGGGAAGTTGCTTGGGCTGAAATGTAAAGGTAAGGATGAGGAAGTAATTAGTAAATTGATGGAACTGGAAGTTAAGGATAAGGAGGTGTTGGGTAAAAGGGGCAGTAAGGCAGAATAATATGTATCTGCCGTGGAGTTCTTGGTGAGAAAATTTGTTTTAATGAAGGTCTTATCTTGTAACGTTAGAGGGCTAGGCAAGTCCATGAAAAGGAGAAAAATCAAAAAACTTCTATTCAAAAGGAAGGTGGATGTGACAATGTTTCAGGAAACAAAGAGACCTGCTATAACTGAGGAATTTGTCAGATCTTGTTGGCCTGGGGAACGATTGGAGTATATGGCTGTGGACTCAGAGGGTGCAGCTGGTGGACTATTGTGTGTCTAGAATCCACAAGTTTTTCAACTTCTGGACTGCTGTTGTAACAGGTATTTTATCATTTTGTCTGGCACTTTTTTTACTAGTCTAGCTTGTGTTATTGTGAATGTTTATGGCCCGACCAATGGTGCTAAGAGAAAGGGATTATGGGAAACTTTGAAGAATGTAAAGAGAAACTTTATTAACCCTTGGTGCTTGGGGGGCGATTTTAATGAAATTAGGACATATTCTGAGAGGGTAGGTTGTTCCCAAAGATGTGGTGGTATGAAGGATTTTAACGAGCTAATCGATAACTTGGAAGTGTGTGACTTACCAATGTTGGGGAGAAAGTTTACTTGGTGTAATTCTCAGAATGGTGACAAATGGAGCAGGCTGGACAGATTTTTACTCAGTCCAGATTGGTTGCAAAAATTTAATTTTAAACTATGGAGATTACCAAGAAGGCTCTCAGATCATTGCCCTATTTTAATGATGGAAGATGAAAGAGATTGGGGTCCAAAGCCTTTTAGGTCTCTAAATGCCTGGTGTCTTCATCTGAAGTTTAAGAATTTTGTGCAGAAAGTTTGGGCTGAATCTCATGTCAATGGTTGGGCTGGTTTCAAATGCTTACAGAAACTAAGATTACTTAAAGCAGCATTGAAAAGATGGAACCTGGAGGTGTTTGGTAAGGTGGATTTAAAACTCAAGCAACTGGAGGAGGAGATACATGTCTTGGATTTGGTAGCTGAACAAAGATTACTCACTGAGGCAGAGAGATCTAAATTTAGGGAGTTAAAAGGTGAAGCATGGAATTTGAGTAAAATGGTTGAATGGGTATGGTTGCAAAAGTCTAGAGCTAACTAGTCAATAAAAGGCTATAGAAATACCAAATTTTTCCATGTCATGGCCTCCACGAGAAGAAATAGGAATGCATTTTGCTCAATTGAGGTTAATGGGGTCTTCACTGAAGATCCTAAGGAAATTAGAACAGAAGTGTTCAATCACTTTCAGAGGCAGTTTTCAGAATCATGGTTTATATGGTCCTTTTAAGTCTATTGGGGAAGAAGAGGAGTGTGTTGCTTTGGAAGCTGAGTTCATAGAATCTGAAGTTATGGCAGCTCTTAAGAGTTGTGATGGGAATAAGGCCCCTGGCTTGGATGGATTTAACCTTTTGATGCTCCAGAAGTGTTGGCAAATAATTAAAGGGGATGTGATGCAGTTCATGAGTGAGTTTAATACCAACTCAAAGTTGGTCATTGGTATTAATAGCTCCTTTGTAGCCTTGCTTCCAAAGAACGAAAACCCTTCTTCTCTAAGTGATTTTAGGCCGATCAGTCTTATTGTATCATTGTACAAAGTGCTTTCCAAAGTGTTATCTAGTAGACTCAAAGCTGTTTTACCAAGGATCATTAGTGAGTCTCAATCAGCTTTTATAGGGGGTAGAAGCATTCTTGATGGTATCCTGATTGCTAATGAGATTGTTGATGATTGGAAGAAGAAGCAAAAGAAAGGTCTTGTATTAAAGCTTGATTTCAAGAAAGCATATGATTCAATAAATTGGGGGTTCCTCTTCTCCATGTTATCAAATTTTGGTTTTGGTGCAAAATGGATCAAATGGATGAAGGAATGTGTCTCAACTGCCAAAATCTCTATTCTGGTGAATGGATCACCTACAACTGAGTTTAGTCCTGAAAGGGATCTCAGACAAGGTGATCCTTTATCACCCTTTCTCTTTAACATCGTAGCTGAGGGTCTTAATATTCTGTTGCATAGAGCTGTCCAGGCTGGATTGATCCAGGGTGCATCAGTTGGTTCAAATGATCTTACTATTACTCACCTACAATTTGCTGATGACACAATCTTGTTTTGTGAGGCAAGGAGGGAGGAGGTGCTTAATATCAAAAGAATATTGAGATGTTTTGAAATCTTGTCTGGGTTGAAGATAAATTATCACAAGAGTGTAGTGTGTGGTGTTGGTATTAATGAAGACCTTATCAAAGATTTTGCTACCATACTGAATAGCCTGTATCATAGACTGCCTTTGAAGTATTTAGGGATGCCATTGGGGGCTAATCCAAGGAGGAGAAGGTCTTGGCAACCTGTCATTGATAACTTCAAATCAAAGCTTGCTTCATGGAAGCGTAGGCTTCTTTCCTTCGCTAGTCAGTTGACAATGATCAAGTCTGTGCTATCTTCACTACCAGTGTTTTACTTATCTTTGTTTAGAATGCCTGAAGGGGTAGCCAAAGAGATTGATAGAATTCAGTCCAGATTTTTGTGGGGGGGGTGATGAACTTAGAAGGAAGATTCACATGGTAAAATGGGAAGAAATTACTCAAAGCAAAAGTAACGGGGGTCTGGGTATTAGAAAGGTGAGAATCACGAATGAATGTCTTCTTCTCAAATGGTGGTGGAGGTTTGGGAGTGAATCTGACTCTATTTGGAAACAAGTGATTATCAGCAAGTACCCACATAATGGTGGGCTTAGGTGGCCAGCTCAAGATGCAAACTCCAGATATTCTATGGTATGGAGGGACATTTTGAAGGTTGCTTTTAAGTGTCCACAACTGCTAGAGGTATTTAAGGCCAATTCAAAGATCACCATTGGGGATGGGAGGCTCATAAGTTTTTGGCTGGATCAATGGGTTGGTGGTGACTGTTTAAAGAATTTATTTCCTAGATTATATTCTGTGTCTATGCAGCAAGATATATCAGTGGCAGTGATTAAAAGTAGGAGTAATGGTAGTGGGGAGTGGGACTTGTCATTCAAAAGAGCATTGTTTCAATGGGAAGTTGAAGAATTGAGGAAGATGAAGGAGTTGCTACAAACTGCTCCTGAGCTCAGGTATGGGGTGGTAGATAGGTTGTCTTGGGCTGCGGACAGATCTGGAATATTTACTGTTTCATCTACCTACAAGTGGAGTGAGTTAACATCTACCATGCCTGCAAAAGTGGTGGAGCTCATTTGGAAGAATGTTGCACCTCCGAAAGTGCAATATTTTGCTTGGCTAGTATGGAAAGGGAGGATCAAGACTTCTACATATTTGCAAAGAATTGGAATCCTAAGTGCCAACTCTGATGTTAATTGTGTATTCTGCAGAAATGAAAGGGAAACTGTATCTCATGTGCTGCTGTGTTGTTTGTTTAGTTGGAGAGTTTGGTCTAATATTATTGGATGGTGGGATGTATCTTGGGTACAGCCGGGGTCAGTGGTGGGTCTCATTCAATGGTGGACTGGGTTTAGATGCAAAAACAGATTGAAGGTAATCTGGAAGATAATCCCACTGGCAATGTTTTGGTCGTTATGGAAGCAAAGGAATAAAACCATCTTTAACGAGTCACAGTTGGATTTTGGAAAGTTGTGTGATCTTATCAAAACACGGGTTGCAATGTGGTTCAGAGCCTCTAGTCCTTCCATTTGTTATTCAGTTGATGATCTGGTGTTTAATTTGCAAAATGTGAAATTCTGCCTCATGCACTGAGGGTTTAACCTGTGTACTGCTGTTTCTGGATAATTCTGCTCTGGTGCAATTGATGCAGAGGATGATCTGTTTCTGAAGGGCCGTTGTAGTGCCTATTATGTTTTGCTGATATGCTCATGGCTGGGTGCTGGTGTATCTGGTTTGTCTGATCTGAACTGCTGCTGTGTTGGTTTAAAATTTTGGTGGGTGGTTTAGTTGAAGGGCTGCAGCTGTGTTGGTTTATGATTTTGGTGGGCTGCTGCTGAAGGGCTGCTGGTGTATCGGATCTGATTTGCTGCAGTGTTGGTTTAAAATTTTGGTGGGTGGTTTGGGCTGTTGTAATTCATGGCAATGTAGCTCAAGGCAAATCTGATCTATCTGTTCTGTTTTGGTGCCTAAAATGGGTTAGTGCAGGGCCTGTTTTGATTGGTGCTTCAAATGAGTGCTGTGTATCTGATCTGGTTTTCCTTGTTTTCTTTTTCCTATGTTTTGTTGGCTCGTTGGTTTCTCACCAACTAGGAAGTTAGAGCTTGTTTTAGCTCCAAGCTCCTCTTTATTGATATAACTTTTCTTTTTCCATCAATAAAGTCTTCTTTTTGCCGATTAAAAAAAAAACAGTCTTTTTGTTATGTGAATATCCAAGATGCCATCAAAAGTTATAATTAAGGCAATAAAGATGGGACACTTTTGTCTATACATGTTTAAGGGTTTCAAATAAATTTAAAAAGTTACAAATTGTAGTTTGAGAAAATCTCACTAAAAAGTCAAATAAGCTAAACCTAAAATTACAACTAAGCATCATTAATTAACTTTTTTAATCCAATAAGCTAAATAAATTTACTTATTAATCCTACCAAACTAGGCAAACATCATATTTTAAATCTTTCCATAAAAGTGTTTTGAAATTGCTTGCTTGGAGTAAGGAGGGTACAAGGTAAAGAGAGATAAAAAAAAAAAAAAAAAAGTTTTCTCATTCAAATTTGCTAGCTTTCAAAAAAAAAAAAAAAACATACTCTATTCTTTTCCAAGATTATGAGCCAAACTTCTTTTTCTCTGAGTTCTTTCATTATTGGAACAAAGAAAGACTACATATGTTAAATCAAGAATACACATTGCAATGCAACAAACCTGTGATGACTGATGGGTACCATTTTATTAGAAGCCAAAGGTGAATTATATGTAGACAAAAACAAAAAGCACACCCTTTCATGACTTAAATAGGATTGAGAGATCTTTAAATGCCAGAAGAGACATTAAGCATAGACATTAGGGTTTTGGATGAGGTAGTCCTCCACAACCTTAAACATTCCTCCAGCGTTTTCCATCCCGACCTTGAGTTCCTCCTCATTAATCACATAATTGCCCAATGGATAGTATTTGGTTGTCGACTTGGTAATGCTACCGCCATCTGGGGAGGCCACAAGCTCAATCTCATAACAAATCTTCTCGAACTTATCCATCAAGACATCGCCTTCAATCAAAGTGTAATTGTACTTGCATGCCTCTTCATTGACCTCATCAACTCTATGTTTCACGGACTTAAATGGGCCGCCTGTATCGACAAACACTCATATCAATTCAAAACTTTTTAAATTATTAGCATAAAGTAAAATTTGGTGTTTTTGTATGTTTAGAATGTCTAACCTTCAGCAAAGTTGATTTGCTTGATGCTTCCAACCCCGCCATCACCTTGGATGAGTTCGATGCTCTTAAAAGCTTGTGGCATGAGTTTTGGGATCAAGTTGTCACCGTCAAGTATCAATGCCTTGAATGCCCTAGTCGGAGGGATTGGGCAAGTGTACTCATTGGTGAATGTCACAACACCCATGATCTTGTAGAAATGTGAAGGAAAGTTAAAGAGTGAATAATAATATGGGATTGAGTTTGTTTGTGTGAATGAAGGGGTGAGAGGATGGTATTTATATTTTTTTGGATTGAGGTTGTCAGTGACTATTTTATGAGGTGGTTTCATTTGATTGATATCCTCAAAGAATACTATAAAGCAATATATTCTAGTTCTTGTCTAGTTTGTATGGCATTGGTTACAATTAGCCCATTGAAGTGAATTCCTAAGTCCATATCATAAGATAGGATAACGGAAAGATGAAAAAACTTAACACTCATTTTGTTCCAAACAAAATATTTAATTGATACAAATATAAAGGACAAATTAATGGATCTCCATAAGCATACTATCCGGTTAATCAACAAGTACGGTAAAGATAAAAATAAAAAAAAGAAAGAGACATAGAGAAGTTAAAACTGGAGGTTAATGGTTTATGCTTCTTATAATTAACTTCTCAACTATGGAAATCTTTATCCCCTTACCATATCATTATGAGGTTTTATTTGGCAAGTGACGAAAAAAGTTTTTAAAAAATAAAAATAAAAAATAAAAAAAGTTAGTAAAAAATTCAAAAATTCAGATAAGAAAAAATCAATGATTTCGGCCTCTTTTGGACAGAAGTTTGACTTTTAATCTCTTTTGAGTCACATTACCTCTTTTTTTTTTATATGATTTTTAAAAAAAAAAAATCAAAAAGTTAGCTTTTAACCTACTTTTCAAAATTCTCTCTATTATTTATACGTTTTTTCGTAAAAAATCAAAAAATCATTTCGAAACATTTCATTTTTTTTTAGCTAATGTTTTAACAAAAAATCTACTTCCCAAATCAACCTTGAGTAAATTGTGTTACTTAAAGTATGAGTCACAAGCATTTCTCTCACTACAAAAAATTAAGATTTTAGAAATTAAAATTTAGGAACAAAATTATTTTTTAGAAACCAAATATTTTTGTTGCGAAAATTATCGTCATTATATTTTTAACAACGAAAATTAGACATTAGTGATGAATTATTATTTTTTTTGGACCAAATTTTGTGTCTCAAAAAATAAACTATTTTGAGACCAAATTATTTTGTCCCTAAAGGTCTATTTATTAGTGACATTTTTAAAATTTTGTTGCTAAAAGCCTTGTTTTTTACTTTTTAGGACAACCTTTTAGCGACTATCCTTATGACGATAGAAATTGGTCTCTAAATATCTTTTGTAACAAAATTTACACTTTTAAAGATCAAAACATTTAGTCTCTAAAACTCTTATTTGTTGTAGTGTCTACTATAATTCATACAAAACTCCTTCAAATTAGAGGAAATGTAAAAAATAATTATTAAATTTTGGATTAAATGACACCAACACCCCTCGTATATATAGGAAATTACAGAGTCACTCCCTTCTAAATACACTACAAAAAAATTGGTTTTTTGCGACGGCAAAACGTCGTCGCAAATACTCCAAACGCCGTCTCAAAAGGTTTTTTGCGACGGTCAGTGACTTTTTGCGACGGCAAGTGCGGGGTCGCAACAAAGGGGGTTGCAAAAGGGTTTTAGCGACGACATAATGCCGTCGCCTTTTTTTTGCGACGGCAAAATGCCCTTTTTGCGACGGAAAAATTCTGTCGCAAATAACACGTAAAAATTTGAGTTTTTTTGAGACGGCATTGTGTTGCCGTCGCTAAAAATGTCTTTTGCGACGGCAAAAAATACCGTCGCTAAAGGTTTATTTGAGACAGCCCCTGAACTGTCGTTAAAAGACTATTGGCGACGACAATAAAACCGTCGCTAAAGGCATTACATTTCAACCAATTCCCTATCTTTTGCGACAGTAAAGGTGCCGTCGCAAAAAATCCTGATTCAATTTTTTTTTTGAGACGGTGTGTGCTGCCGTCTCCAAAAAAAAAAAAAAATGAAATAAAATTATTAAAATTATGAAAATGACCTGTATTAAATAAAAAATAACTTTAAAAAAATCAATAATTACATAATAATATAAAAAGTCCAGTATATAAATAAAAATTCATCCATAATTAAAAATATGAAAATGATCTTCCATTTTTTTCTTTTTGCTGTCATACATTGTACAAGAAAAACTAACTAAGCAGCAATATAAAGCTAACAGAAGAAAGGGCATCACTAGCATCATCTCACTAAAGTTTAGCAATAAGAACATATATCTTATTCACATCTTCATGTCTGCCATGGCACAGATGATTTCAAATGAACAAAATAGAAAAACAAGAGAAAATTACAGCTCTCAACACCGCCTTCTCCACTACTTTCACACTATGCACATATTCTTCCTTCAAGTCATCCGGTAGCCAATTACAAACCCTGAAAAATAAGGATTATATTAAAACTAGACTAAAACAAAAAATTTAAAATTAAAATGTGCATCCTTTAAAACCATCATTAGTCTAAATTATCAAGACACACCGACAGTTCTCCAAGTCACAAAATCATACACCTAAACACCAATCCCGCAACAGGTGACAAACATCAAATGTCTGAAATAAAGCCACTACATTAATATGGCTATGATATCACAACAATTCAAACTAATTGGCCACTAGTACATGAAATTAAATCCTACAAAACTAACCCAATTAAACATGCTTCCTGGAATACAAGATAACTACGTTTGATTACCATCCATGCCGTGATGAACTCAATTAAAAATCCCACAAACCTGATTCAGCACAACTCAACAAAGTCTGGAATTTCAAATTAAATTCCACTAAAATCATATTTTATCAAATTGGATAGCTTTAATTTCCATGGAACATATTAGCACCACAAAAACCCATTTGAACTTGGGTTACAACATTACTACCACTGTACTATATTAACTTTAAACATGAGATAGAACTTAATACCCTTCAACCCTTACTTGGAAAAACTGTAATCACGGTATGATGCAGTTATTGTTGTCTTCAAAATTCCGATTGAACACTCACTAAACTTCCGGACTCTCGCAATGGACAACAATACTGCAACAGTAAAATGGTTAAATGCTCGAAGATCTGATTTCACCAACCCCATAAATTCAAATATGATTTGAAAATCTACTAGTCTGTAAGGTTTTAAGACAAGCTTACAAAAAAATTCAACATGATCAACATGAAGAACATATAAATATACATATGGTAATATGTGAAAAATTGAAATGTAGAACAATAAATTCAGAGTTTGATACCTGAAAAGATATTCCTTCCTTCCACTCCTCTAAGGAGAAGCTATACATTGTAGTGATGGAAATCGATAAAGAATATTTCCCTGTATTAATTGCAAGTGAAAAGTAAAAAAAATAATATAAAAAAAAAAAAGTGGTTTCATCAGTAAAAGGCAAAGAAGGGTGTGAAAATGAAAACTGAGATCATATGGACTACATAAAAAATAACATTTTGGTCATTTATGCAAACTTGTCAAACAATGCTTAGAAATTAACACAGAATAGGAAATATAAGACTGTGGAAAGTAACATTGAGGAGGGACAACAGGGCCTTAAATGAGAGCTACATGTTTACAAACAACTTAAGAAAAATAGCAAACTACTCTAGCATTTTTCACAAACTCTTTGAAACTTTTAAGTATGCCTCATTGCAAGACTAGAGCGTCCCGAAACAATTTAAAACAAAACTATCTAAAAACATAAACCCTTAATTAAGTTCTTAACAAATGTTTTCTGACTACCTAACATGATATCAAATAGAATAACCTGTCATGTAGATAAATTAAATAAAAAAAAGACCCAACTAAAAGGGTGTTTCGTATAGATGCTATATCTATATGGCCAGTATCTATTCACTGTCATTACGAATAATCAACCCATACATCGAAAACAATCATTATAATTTAGCTATGTTGGTTGATTGTCTTATTTGATATTCATTATGAATATTAAATATGCTATTACGATTTTTTGAGTAAACATATCTCCAAAGAGATGAAAAATATGAAATGGAAACTCTAACCAGAAAATTGAAGCAATAATAGTATCATCGAAAAATTATATGCTAGCTCTCCTGAGATAAGAATACAAATTTCATATAGAATGCTTGTGTTCCACACTAAAAGTATAATGAAATGTGGTTGTCAAGGAGAGTTAACTTCAAAGCAAAAAAAAAAAGATTGCTATTTATAATTTCCATGCACACAGTGATCACACATTAAAATTAATTACGGTGCTGTGAGTATATTTATTATGTTCATAAAGTATGACCACCACAAGCATTCTTACCTTCTTTTCTGCAGCCATCTTTAATTTCGCCCAAAATGAATCTGTTAGGACACATCCCATGTAAACATGTTTATTTTGATTTCAACATCAACTATGCTTATATAAGAAACGTGTGCAAGCAACATGGAATTGTGAAATGCCACAAATTACACATGAAATGAATGTCGCACAGATGGGGAGAGAGAGAGAGAAATTAATGGGCTAAAGTAAATACATAAGAAAACAAGATCAGAGATGTTTTCATATATAACTAAAAACATTTTTTCACATAGTGCGATTATTTTGCAAAAAAAACAGAAAAGAAAAGAAATTTGGTTTTGCTGTTGATTTTGTTAGGACTTTTCCGTTTGTGTATAAGGGGGTTTGAGCCGTGCAATCCAAGTGCTGAATCTACCCAAGGGGAAGACTTAGTTAAAAGTCCACATCATTTTAACAAAAATGAAAAGTTTTAGATGAGTAAAATAGTTTTGCTATAAAGCCCCAAATTTCTATGGTGAGAACTGTGTCCTGAAGGCTTTAATTGAACCTGGTGATAATCTTGAGGTTTGATTTTAAGAAAATGAATGATGTACCAAGAAATTAACATGGTAGACCATGAAGTTTACTTTCATAGTACAATATATGAAACTATTATAAGAAATTGCAAGTCCAAGTTGCTTTTGATTTGTGAGCAAAGTAGTTAGTAAAAACTGAGCAATCAGGTACTACTTCAATCCCTTATTAAGAAAGTTATACCATTAATTTTCATGCTAAGCACTGGGAAAAAGATGATTTTTATAATTTTGTAATAGGTTGGGTGGTGCCACAGCTAT